TATGAAAGAAAGTGTAAAACTTGTTGGAAAGGTAAATATGCAGACACATACAGAATACTGTATTACTATAGTTGGTAGGTAAATCACTTTTAATCTTGACATAAATATTAAAAGACAAAAGTGTTAAAATAGCTATCACTAGAAAATATGTTAAATGATACACAATACAACCAGATGTAAATTGTGACAATAGTAATGTGGGGAGTAGAAGTTAAAGTATAGTGTTTTTATATGCTATCCATCTTAAGTTGTCAGCCTAAAATACACTGTTATAACTATGAGATATCTTATATAGTCCCCAAGTTAACCACACACACACAATAAAAGCCTGTAAGCAACACATAACAAAAAGAGAAAGGAATCAAAAGCATATCAATGCAACACATCAACAAAACACAAAGGAAGACAACAAGAGAGAGGAAGACAACAAAACAGGGGCAAAAGAACTAAACAACTAACAGAAAATGACTAACAAAATGGCAGCATTACATTATTTTTCCTACCAATAATCACTTCAAATATAAATGAATCAAACTACCCAATCAAAAAACATGGTATAGCCGAATGGATAAAAAATCCTACTTATATGTTGTCCACAAGAAACTCACTTTAGATTTAAGGACCCAGAGGCTGAAAGTGAAAGTTTGGAAAGAGATATTCAATGCAGATGGTAAACAAATGAGCAAGTATGGCTATGCTTTGGAAAAAATAGATGGTAAATCAAAACTCCTAAGAGGTAAAGAAGTACTAGAAAAATATAATAGCTAAAAATTTGTATGTAGCCAACATTCTGAGCACCTTGAGTATATAAAACAAATATTGACAGAACTGGAGAGAGAAATGAACAATAGTAAAATAATATAGGATGCCCAGCTTCTGTGGCATAGTCAGTAACATACTGACCTGCAGTGCTGGAAGGCACATGGTCAGCTGCTGGTTTCGCTTCCCAGTTAACCTGAGAACATGCCAGGTGTGCACGTCCATGCCTGAGAGCCAGAAGGAGGTCATTTCATGATGAGACTCTTGTCAGGGTGCCTCTCCCTTTCTACTTACCACCCTCTCTCTGCTCTTTCTGTCTCCCATTTTAAAAAAGTCAAAATCTTAAAAAAAAAAAAAAAAAAATTAAGAGCCTTAAGCTAACAGAAGAAAGAAAATGACCAAAATTAGAGCAAAGAAGACACAAACATAGGAAGACGTCTTATGTTCAAGAATCATATACCTTACTATTATTACAATGTCCATACCACCCAGAGTTATCTATAAATTCAATGAAATCGCCATTAAAATACCAATAACATGTTTTGCAGAATTAGAAACAATCCTGGGACCAGCAGATGGCATAACGGTTATGTCACTGGACTCTGACATAGTCGACCACAGTTCTAGTCCTGGACCTGGTGGCCTTAAACTCATGCCAGGCACATGTGCCAAAAATCTCTAGAAGAAAATGGAGAAGGGATTATGCTGTGGCCCTCCCCCTTGAGGGGTGATTTCTTGCTTTCTCTCTCTCCAGTGAATGCACATGCCCTATAGCAAAAAAATCTCTCTTAAAAAATAAAAGAAATAGAAACAATCCTCAAGTTATTTTTTATAATTATTTATTTAATATTATTTATTCATTCATTTATTTTAATTTGACCAGAGAGAGATACACAGAGAGAGAGAGAAAGTGAGAAAGCAAGCCACCCGGTCCAGTATTCAAACCTCAGTTGGCCAAGTGGGAGTGTCCAGTGCCTTAACCACCACGCCACCTGCTGGTCCCCACAATCCTGAAATTCTTACTGAACTACAAAAACCACAAATAGCTAAGTCAATCTTGTGAAATAATAACAAAGCTGGAGATACCACATTTCCTGATTTTGAAATATACTACAAAGCCACAGTTATCAACCCAGTATGATACTGGCATAAAGACATACATATAGACAAATAAAATATTGGGTTGTCAGAAAAATCATGGCTTTTTTTTTTTTTTTTTTCGCAAAAATGCATCATGATTTTTTCGACAACCTAGTAAAATAGAGAACCCAGAAACAAATCCACATATACATAGTCAGTGATTCTTTGACAGATACCAATAATATGCAGTGCAGAAAGGATAGTCTTTAATCAGTGCTATTGTAAAATCTAGATATCCGTGTGCAAGAAAATGAAATTGACCTTTATCTTACACTGTACACAAAAATTAACTGAAGGTTAATTAGAGACTTAACGCTAAGAACTATATCTATAAAACCCCTAGAAGAAAACCTAGGGGAAAGACTTCATGGCATTTACCATTATAAACCACAATGTCCATGGGGCCAGCAAGTGGCATGGTGGTTAAAGGCGCTGGACTCCCACATGGCCGACCATGGTTCAAGTCTCAGACCTGGTGGCTTGCTTTCTCACTTCCTCCCTCTCTCTCTCTGTCTCTCTCTGATCAAACTGGAAAATAATAATGATAATAATGAATAAGTAAAATAAAATAATTCTTTAAAAAATAAAATAAACCACAGTGTCCATCTAGGTTTTTGGTATTTGTTTAATTTTTCTTGTGTAGTAAAATTTATCTATGTGCACCAAAAAAGGTGATATAGTCTCTCAATACCTAGTGACAATTTAACCTCTCTGTGAGAGGGGCAGATTCAAATAATAAGCCAAATGGAGAAAAGAGACTTTCTGAATGAATCTGTTTAATGCAAAATACATGCACACACTCACAGAATAGGCAAAAGGCAAATATATATGCAAACAAGTAAAAGGCAAGTAAAAGGAAAAAAGAAATAGCACATAAGCATACCAAGGTAATAACAAAGCAAACTCCCTGCATCCATGGGAGAAATCATCTCTTGGCCTAAGAGATCAGTCCACTCAAGATGACACACAAATGTGTCAAGACCGCCTTCAAGTCATCAGTGATGAGGCTCATGGACTGTCAAATCAGATAGGACCTCCAGCTGCATCAGTCTTATCAAATGGATGCTCACAGAGAGTGGAGCCACAGCAAGATGTGTCTCATAGTAGTTCAGAGACTCTTTGTAGTCCTGAAAGCATTATCTTCGCATCCAGGTGTCACTTGCGAAGGGAAAGGTCCCAGAGCCCAGCAGCTCATTAGTACATTGACACCATGGATATCAGTTGGTTTGGCTGAGTTATGGCAGGTATGACCCAACAAAATTCATAACACTCGAGGAGTTATATTGTCAAAGCATTCAAAGTGAGGTTAGCACAGGAAAAGCATAATTTATGTAAGATTACTTGATTCAACAAGAATCATTACACTGTAAAAATACACATTGTACCAGTCATCGTTCTACCCTTTTTCTGCAAGTAACAATCTTTTCTTTTCTTTTTTTTAAAAATTTTTTTCCATAGGGCACTCACACTTACTGGAGAGAGACAGAGAGAGAAAAAGAAAGTGAGAAATCACCACTCCCTGAGGGGATGTGCCCATGCCACAATCACTTCTCCTACCTCTGGGACTTAGGGCATGCACACACTTATGTCTGGCATGTTTTTCAAGTTGCCAGGTCTTGGACTCGAACAGCAGAGTCAGCCACGTGGAATCCAGCACTTTAAATACCATACCATCTGCTGGCTCTGCTCATGATAGTCTTTTTAATCATGGTCTGTGAATTAAATACAAAATTTTGGTCTGCAATGGTCTGCTTCCCCAGATAAAGATGAAATTCTGAGGCCTTCTCTCATGTCTCAAAAAGGGCATTCACTCATTCATTCCTCAAAGGTCCAGGTGCTTGGATGTACTAAATCATGGGCCGTACTCTGAGGGTTCTGGGAGAAGCTCATCCTCAGAAGAGGATCATATTATAGCTAGGAATACATAACCTTTAGACCCTATTAGGGATAATGTCTATGTCTCTCTTTCTCTCCGTCATTCATGGAAAAAATAAATAAGTTTTAAGAGAAAATCTGATGGACGAAATTGGGTAGATCAAGAGAGAAGCACAGTGAAAGCTGTCTCAGAGACTTAAGCTAGAGAGATATCAGCATAAACTGTTTGGTCAAGGAGAAACTAAAATCACGACTGTCATAGTTAAATAATAGCTATAATAAAAGATAAGGGATTCGTAGCTTCACAGCAAAACCAGAACTTATGGGAGAAAATCAATCCCCTGAGAAATAAGTGTTTGTATAGTTGGGAGGCTACTTCATATCTTTCTTTAGGTTCCTCCACAGCAGATCCTGAGGAAAGGGTTCCAAAGCATGTCATTATGTAGGAGGTAATACCAGTTAGCCCCAGGAGAGGAATGGGGAGATTAAGAAGTAAGCAACTGATATTTAATCCCATTATGAATGCTGAAAGCCTCTGTAAAACACTGTCCTTGGAGTTGTTTCACCCATTCGGCAAAGGATTTTGAGTTCCTTATGCACTAATTCCCTATAGTCATCTTGGCCTGCTCAAGCTCAGAGTGGGACATTAATTCCACAGCACTTGTGCCTTCTGTATGGATAGGTGAGCAATGGAGGGCCAGGTAGTCAGGGAGAGCCATAAGACTCACAAGTGCCCATGAAGTAGTTTGAAGTGAAGCAGGTATCTACTGAAGTATTGTGTCATCGGAAAAGTCATGATGCCGGGGCTGGCAGGTAACAAGGTGGTTAAGGGTGCTGGACCACATGGCCGACTTGAACCATGTGGCCGGCCTGAACCACATGGCCGACTGTGGTTCAAGTCCCGGACCTGGCGGCTTGCTTTCTTACTTTCTCTTTTCCTCTCTCTTCTTTCTCTCTCTCTGGTCAAGTAAAAGATAAATTAAATTAAATTATTTTTTTTAAAAAGTCATGATGTCTTTTTGCGTAGAAAAATAAGTCATGACTTTTCTGATAATCCAATAATAAAGGTGAGGAAAGATGGCCAGGGTTACCACTTATTCTTAAAAAAAATGTAATTATTGGCATGTGTCTCTGTTTTTTCCTGCTTATATGCCTATGGTTAATCTTCAGAGATATAGTTCTAAGTGTTTTAATACAGGTTGTTTCTTTTTTTTTTCTTGTGACAGACCAACCAACAATTTCTGAAAACAGTAACTGAACAAAATGTGGAAATCGAGCAACTCCGAAAACAACTTAGGTATTTCTTAAACGAATTTTGTTATATTATTATTATTAATTATTTTTCTTTAAGAGAGATGGTGGTGCTATAATTTTTCCCATGGGTGCTTTATTTGTCTCCCCTCCTGTGTTTTAATACTTTTGCCAGAAGGAGTGTGTACTGGCCAGAGAGCCACAGAGACAGAGAGAGAGAACATGAAAAAGCAGCCCCTATGGGGGATAGATTTGCCACAGTCCCTTCTCCATCTCTCCCTCCTTTCGGGATTTTGGGCACACTTGCACATGCACCTGTTGTGTTGTGTTTTTTTGTTTTGTTTTGTTTTGTTTTCGAGATACCAATCTGAGACTCTAACCCCACAGCTGGCCATGTGGGATCCAGCACCTCAACCACCAAGCCACCAGCTGTCCCTCGTTTCCCTTCTTTAAAGCTTCTGTCAGTAGCATTTGTATGATCTGTTAGGACATGAAGAGGCTGAAATCAAGACCACTCATCAGAAGGCAACAATAATAAATATGTACGAGATGTACCATGATGGTAAAACCAGTGCTACAGGAGAAAACCAATTCTCTTTGAGAAAATTTGCTACATATAGAAAATTATCTCATTTCTTTCTTGGGATTCCCACATAAGCAGACTGAGAAAAGGGTTTCAAAGCATGTTTCTTTAGGCAGTAATACCAAGGAGCACCAGTCGGGGAGTTAAAAGAGAAGGCTGTCAATAAAGAGATTTCGTAAACCAGGCGACTTACTACTATACATATGTATTATGGTCCAGTGGTTTAATAATCATTATATTAATAGTATTTATAGGAAAATCAACAAATAAGTAAGATTTTTTTTCACTTTCCTTCCCTTTAGTCATACTACTTAAAACTTAGCACTTCAGTCATATAAGGTTTTGGTCTATGATGCAGTCATTTTAAATATCATTAAATTGTAAAGTAAGTTAATGCTTATTAAATGAACTTTGCTGTCCATTATTCCTGTCATCACGTGTTTGAGCCCACAAAGTAATGTATTGGTTTTTTTTAAAAAAATTATTTATTTATCCACTCATTTATTTTTTAATTTGACCAGAGAGAGACACAGAGAGAGAGAGAGGGAAAGTGAGAAAGCAAGCCACCAGGTCCGGGACTCAAACTGTTGTCGGCCATGTGGGAGTGTCCAGCACCTTAACCACCACGCCACCTGCTGGCCCCAATGTATTGTTTTTTAATTAAACCTTTTTTTGAGATTTTATGCACCACTTTTTATAGTTTGATTTTATTGCTTTCATCGTCTTAATTTTATTTAAATATGTTTACTTTCTTTTCCCCTAGTTTTAATCATGGACTCTTATTTGGTCCTTATTCCTTTAGAAGGTTTTAATTTTGCAGTTTTACAATTTTATGTTAGGATTTTATTCCTTTTTTTTTTTTTTTTTTTCAAAATGGAAGTAGTCTTTTAAATTATAAAAGTAGTATGTGTGTGTTGGGGGGTGGATCTTGATGACCTGATGATTAAAGAAGCTGAATCCCACATGGCTGGCTGCACAGTTCGAATCCTGGACACAGCAGCTTGAAAAATATGCCAGGCTCATCTGCATATATGCCCCCAAAAGATAGAGAGATGGGGAAGAAGGAACTGTGGCAATACCAAAGAAGGGTGCTTTCTCCCTCTTCTTGCTTTCTCCCTCCTCTCTCTCTCTCTCTCTCTCTCTCTGGTGAGCACATATGACCTTTGGCCATTAAAAAAATTAAATCAAGAAGCATATTTGTATATGGGTACATTTGTTGCAATTTTTGTCAAAAAGCCAGTAGGTTGTTTATAGAATTTCAAAAACTGACTCTGTCACTAGAATGTATATAGCTATGCAAAGGTCAAGAGGAAGAACAAACCAGGGCTACTTCCTGGACAATACATCAAGACTTATAAAGCCAAAATTAAGATAGTGGCATTGGAAAAAGGTAGACAAACTGAACTGATCAGAGAGGCCAGAAACAAACCCACACTAGTATGAACTGTTTTTCCCAAAAATTGTCACTATCCTTTCTTTCTATTTGTATTCATGCTCTTTGTTAGAAGTCTTCTATGTATCAAGATACCTCTTGATATTTAGGGACCGGCAGGTGGTATGGTGGTTAAGGACACTGGATCCCCACACGGCCGACTGCACTTTGAGTCCTGGACCTGGTGGCTTCCTTTCTCACTTTCCTGCTCTCGCTCTCTCTCTCTGTCTCTCTCTGCCTCTCTCTCTCTCTTACTCTGTTCCTCTCTGGCCAAATTGAAAGAAAGGAAGGAAGGAAGGGAGGGAGGGAAAAGAAAGAAAAGAAAGAAAGAAAGAAAGAGGGGCAGAGAGAGAGAGAAAGAAAGGAAAGAAAAGAAAAGAAAGAAAGAAAAATGATTTTTTCTTAAAAGAGGTATATTTAGCAGAAGTAACTAATCTTCTAACTGGATACTTAGGCAAGATAGCAGGTAAATAGTTAAGTAATATGAACAATAATACCCTGTCAACTAAAGTAGGAAAATAAGGTTTAACCAGGTTTTTAATTACATTACAGATTTGTATTAAAAATCAGTGGGCAAGGGGGCCAGCAGGTGGCATGGTAGTTAAGGACGTTAGACTTTCATATGGCCTAGTATAGTCTGAGTCCAGGCCTGGTAGCTTACTTTTCTCACTTTCTCTCCTTTCTCTCTCCCTCTCCCTCCCTCCCTTCCAGTCAAATTTTTAAAAATAACTAAATAAATAAATAATTCTTTTTAAAAAATCAATGAGTGGAATTGAAGTACTTTTCCCCATTCTTCCTGCCAAATACAACTAAAAATCCTGGATATATATACAGAACAAATGTAAAAAGCCTTGTGGGTAGAAAAACCAAACAAACAAAAGCAAAAAGCAGACCAGGTAGGTAACTCAGGACCCTTGGTAAGTTTCCTGGTTTGTTTTTGTGTTTTGTTTCATATACACTAGAAGCTGACAACCTGGCAGCACTAAATACAGACCAAAAAAAAAAGCCTCAAATCAGAGATCTACTCCATGTAATCAGAGGACCAGGAATGAATTGAACTAGTGTGGCAAAATGGGCACTAACCTCTTTATTACAGCCAAATAGCACATGAAAAAACTGTGGACCCACCTATACGCATGCCAACAGAGGCTGCCTGGTGAGGGACCTAAATTTCTGCCTAGCCCAGCTGGTAGTAACAAGGCAAACCCCTTCCCCGTAAAGAAACAGTGTCAGAGGGAATCTATTAAAATAGGTGCAAAATAATATCCAGAACCTTACAATATAATATTCAAGATGCTCAACTCTTTATTAAAAATTACTCATGCTAAGAATCAAGAAAACCTCAACTTGAATGAAAAAGGGAATCATTAGAATCGGCATCTAGATGACAAAGATGTCAAAGTTATTTGACAGAAATTTTTAAACAGACTAATTAAGGCCACAATGAGCAATTACAAACAAGATTTTAACAAATGAAAAAAGTAGAAATTATCAACAAAGAAATTAAAAATCTCAACAAAGAAATAGAATATTTGCGGAAGAACTACATAGAAATTTTAGAACTATTATGTTGGGTGGGAATTTAATTCTCTGATAAGTATAAGTCTTCTCAAGCCTCTAAAATTAAAATCAACATAGCTTTTTATTTTTCTTTTTAGATTATTTTGCTCTAGGGCACATGTACTTGCTAGAGAGACAGAGAGAGACAGAGAAATAGAAAGTGAGAAATCATCCCTCTGGGGGATGGCCACGCCATAATACCTTCTCCTCCATTTTTCTTTCAGGATTTGGAGCATGCATGCACATGTACCCAGCATGAGTTTTAAGCCGCCGGGTCTGGGACTCAAACTGTGTTTGACTACGTGGGAATCCGGTGATGTAACATTATCTGCTGGTCCCAACATAACTTTTATTAAAATTCCTGTAGTCTGTGAGAGACAGGGAGAGAAAGAGAAACTTGATAATATAACAAAATGAAATAGTAAAATCTTAATTATTAAGACTATTCTATAGAAGAATAAAATGCAGTGTTATGTACAAGTGTGAGTTTGGCAGAATACAATGGGATTAAAAAGTATGGGACCAGCAGTTGGCATAATGGTTACATTGCTAGACTCCCATGTAGTGGACTATGGTCAAGTCCTGGACCCAATGGCTTAAAACTCAGGCTGGGTATGTGTACCTGTGTGACCAAGATCCCAAGAGGAGAATGGAGAAGGGATTGCAGGGTGGCCATTTCCCCTGGGGGACTCTTTCTTGCTTTCTGTCTCTCTCTCTCTCTTTCTCTGGCAAGCACACATACCATACAGCAAAAATCTCTCTAAAAAGAAAATAAAGTGTGTGTGTATCTATATCTATATATAGGGAGGGAGAGTTTGGCCAATGGTAGAGGGCATTATAAATCAGTCTGGAAACAATCATGTTATGAATAGTTATGAAAAAAATTATTTAGGAACATGTATTTAACATATAAAGATGTAGTTACAACAACATGGATCTAAAATAGACAGTGCTTATTCTAAAAATGTAATATAGATCTGTAGCCTAAATCACATACATTTAGGAACAGTATGTATTTTACCAGTATATGTACATATGCAAGGATATATCACATTTTAATGTGAATCTGCAAAGTAGAGGGAAATAGAGAAGGATTGGGAATGAACAGGAAAAGAAAAATAAACCAATGAAAGTGGTATTCCATAGCTAATAATAATAGGTCACAGAATTAAAAGTGTGATTTAACTCAGCCCTACTTTTCAGGATCAGAAAAGTGAAAGGAAAAAAAAGAATATTAATGTTTATGACATATGAAGGATAACTCAGAATTCAGAGATCCTGGAAGGAAAATGAGTAAGGAAATTGGTTCATAAAGACATGCAATCATCGGAAAATAATGGAAATAGGAAATAACATGCAGGGGCGTGCCCTGGAGTGCAGTGATTAAGCACTGTGGGTAAGGAGCAGGGTCCCACATGGCAGATGGTTGTTGGAATCCTGACCCTAGCGGCTCGGAAGACACACCAGGTGCGTGTGTGTGGGTACTCAAAATCCTGATGGGAGGGAAAATTAAAGAAAGAGATTGTGAAGTGACTGTACATCCCCCTTACTGGAGATGTGCTCGCTTACTTGCTCTCTCTCCCTCTCTTTCTATTTCTGTGGTGAGCATGGATCTTCTGACAAAAAAAAAAATGTTAATATAAATGATTCTGTGTAGGAATAATGTACAGAGTGTGGAGATTTTGATCTAAATGACAGGGGAAGGATAATGAAATTTATTGCTAGATGGTACCTTACTGATCATTGAGTTTTATATAATCTTTTTATAGAACAGACTGATCCAAAGGCCCAGAAACTATTTGTCTTGTCTAAGGATACACAATAAATTCATAAAAGATGGAGGTGGAGAGCAGGTGGACCGCCAGTGGTGTGGTAGTTAAGTTGGCTGAATCCACTTGGGTAATTGTGCAGTTTGAATCCTGGATCTGGTGGCTTGAAAACACACCAGGCACATATGCATGCATGCCCAAAATCCTAAAAAGAGAAATGGAGGAGAAGGGATTGCAGAGTGACCACTGAGGAGGGGGTGCTTTCTCTCACTCTTGCTCTATTCCTTGGTCCCTCTATCTCTGGTGAGTGCACGTGCCCTCTAGCAATTTTTTTTTAACATTCCTAAAAGCCAAATTAGAATTCATACTTTTCCGTTTCTTATCCAGTAAGTTTCTAAACCTGGCTCTCTGACAATATCCACAACAGTAAAGTCAAGAATCAGAGTTGATCAGGAAAAAAAGGATGGTGGGTACATTGATTTTTTGACATCTGCGTGGAAGATTCCTTTAGCTTGTGCA